CTAGCGTAGAGGAATCTTTATTTTCTGGCCATGCAAGCAACGAGTCTAAGGACTCGACTGGTTGGCTTTACGGTGTGTCCGCTGTCAACAAGAGCACTTTGAGATCTTTGTCACACTCCCACTCCCAGTGTTGGGCTCTAGAGTGAACAACTCAGTATGAGAGGGTTTAATTTCACTGCTTAATGTTCTTTACTTTCCCAATTAGAGCCCAGACTGGAGGGTTGGCAAGAGCAGACTAGTTAGGAACTCAGCCATAAATCAGCTGTAAAAACTGAGACAGATTGAGCATTAGAGCTGTGTCTAATATTTATTTTCATCTATTGTTCAAACCTTCAGCATATTAATTGAATTATGGTTTTGATTTCATCTATAATTTCAAAAAAGAGCCAGAACAGCTCATTCAACAACCCAATGGGTTAAGCAATCACAATTGCAGAATTAAGTCTATATCCACGATTGGAAAACTGTAAAAAAAAAAAAAAAAAAAAAAAAAAAAATTGTAAAAAAATTGCAAATACTCAATTACACCAGTGACACAGAACATTTTACAATAAAGCTCAATTTCTTTTGCAATACTTTTACAGCATTTACTAATCATGGTTAGTGTTCATTTCTTTATGTAGTGAACGAGTTTGAACAGGAGATTCATGAACGTGCATCACAGAACAGAGCAAGGCGAGCATTTGAGCTTATAAAACTTAAAATTTGTTTCGTTTTGTTTTTTAAATGACTGATCGTTTCACTTGACAAGACCCTTATTCATCGTCTGGAATCGTTTAAAACGAAGAAAGAATGACATGGATATCTTGGATGACATGGGGGTGTGTAAATTATCAGCAAAAGTTTTTTTTAAAAGTGAACTACTCCTTTAACAAGACAAAAATATTATGTTTCATATTGTTACCATAACTTCTTTAAATAATAGCAGTCACATTTTTTACAGTGGAATCCAGAGGGACACACTGTCCTTTACTCCTTACCTCAACCTCTATATCATCAGGACATGGTTTGTCTACAGCTTTTTATTTTACGGTATTGAGAATGACGGTAAGATTACATCAAACCTCAGCCTTAATCGTCTGTCTATAAATGTACCACCACTCCACTGTCTCCTACAAATTAAAGCCCAAAACTGTGGTGGGAAACAAAAGTTAGGATGCAAATTATTCATAGCATTGTTATTTACGTTTTGTCCTCCTCAAGTGTCGTCTGTTGTAGCATTTTAGTATCAACATCTTTGAGAGATTTCCCATTTATAATGTCTAAAATTTAGATGCCATAAATGAAAAACTTGTGTAGAGAGACACATATTTCTTCATATGGGAAACTGCTGTATCTATCGTTGCAGAGCCATAAATAAACTCTTGTGGATCTGGATCACACAACTACATTCCTGAAGAACAGACGAGTAATGCTTACCACTGTAAAATCTGCTCGCTCTCTTTCATCAGACTTAAGTTCATGAGAACTTCTCAACAGGTGGAAGGTCTGCACTCAATCAGCTTTGCCAAAGCAAGCACTTTGTCTTTCATCGACAATGCTATGTAGCTTAAAATACCTCCACCAAGAAGTCCGCCAGTGCCGTTGCATTTGTTTGTGTTAATTTGATGTTCTTGCCTAATGGGTATTAGTCGAAGTAGACTGCAAAATTTCAATTAGCATTTTTGTCTTTTTTTTAGTTTTCGACTACTGAAACTACTGTCACTGCAGTAAGACAAAAATACATTTATATTAAAGATATATTCTCTGAAATCAAGTCTTAATATCAGTATTAATATGCAGTGTTGCCTCTCACATGAATCTATTTTGTTTTACGGCAATCCTTAGATATTTTAACAGGAAAACAAGTTAAAAAACAACTACCGGTAATTACCACTGTTTTGCAATGTACATTCACACGCTCTCTACCGTTTTGCACTTTTAAAGCTGTTACATAGACTGTGTGATCAGATTATAATTTACAGAAAGAAAAATAATATATATACAGTATATATAAGCATTGATTGTGGACCTAGGGCGCCCTAACCATGACCATGTACTATTATGTCCTTTCTGCTACCATTTCAAATGAACACGTTCTACGAACAAGACCCTGTGAACCTCCAGTGGGTCCACGTCTAACGCAGCTCTAAACGAAATCAGATCTGCCTTTATTAAAGGGCATTTCTGCTAAAGGAACCAGGCTTGCTTCATTAACTTACAGCGTCTCCCTGGACTGAAATTTAATATTGTTGGTAAAACGATCTCAATTTTCTGACAAGAAGCCAATGCCATCACAAGCATACATAAATTGGTATGTAGTCAATATTTTGACAGACGTCATGTCGAAGAATCATTATCTGTTGAAAGTGCTGGAAAAGACTTAATTGAAACATGCATAATTACGTGCTTGTTTGTGGCGAGGTGTCTACATAAAGTGTTAGTGGAGTTGTGAAAGTTGCTGTGAGACAGATCTTTCATCTGCAGATCTTATGACCTCTTGGAACCAAGAACGTAAGCGGATACCACGGCATCCCGGCGAAAACATCTTTCACAAATCAATTCATTACGCCCAACTCTCAGCAGTTAAAAGCCCTTCTTTCTTGCATCAACCCATCCCCCGACCACTGACCACAGTCCTGACATTGTCTCACGCAGTGGTATCAGCTTTCCCCTGCCAGAGAGATAAATGGCTCAATGAATTGAAGGCAGACCTCGATCAAAACCGCTTATGTATAATACAGACAACCACCATCAATAAACTATTTTCATAATACATCTATCTATGTATGTATGTATGTATGTATGTATGTATCTATCTATCTATCTATCTATCTATCTATCTATCTATCTATCTATCTATCTATCTATCTATCTATTTATCTATCTATCTATCTATAGATTATAGAACTATGCACTAATACGTTATAAGATTTACTATAAATTGTTAATATGTATAATATTTAAGAAAATAAATACATGCATATAAAAAGTATCCATCCTAAAGTTGAGACAGTGGTGTCTAGAAAATAATTAGCCCTATTCCTTTCAAATGTATCTAGCCATTTTCACACCCTCAAAACACATCTAGGCAGTGCTAATCATCAAACGCTCCGTCATAGTTTTCTCTAGCCTTAAGAGAGCTGATCCAAGGTCAGTTCTAGCGCCTCATTAACATTTAGCTCATGGGATTAGAGAAATTGTATGACATTAGCACTACTCTCTAACGTGTAATCAGGCCCTGCATGGTGTCGAAAAAAATATTATGAAATATTCCTCACTGAATTAATATTCACTAATGCTTTATGAATATAAGCTAAATGCTCAGTGATTAGGATCATTATTCTCTCTGTTAGGAGTAACAGTCTTTCAGCAAAACACTGACAGTGTGATGTGAAAGGTTTTAACAAGTACCTTTTTTTTATAGCTTGTTTTATTTGACTTTGAGCCTCTCCATTTGTCTTTCACAATTGTATGGTTTTTATACCCAGGTGTTTTATAGAGATCCCTCAATTCTGACTCTTGAAATATTAAAATCCATAGCATGCAGTAAAGAACACGAAGATCAAAAACAACCAAATGTGTATAATTATGTCAGCTGTTCAATTTAAAGTAGACTGCTAGATGATTTATTGGCAGGTGCTCCTGTGCAAGGATTGTGACCGTACTCATTAACTGTCATTGAATGCATATCGGCAGAGCGCCGCCCTGCTAGTGCCTGCAATGAGCGGCTATCATCACAGCTCATCCTGGACTAGACAGGGAGCTGGGGTGGTAATTACAGCCAGGCTCGTGAAGAGGCTGAGCGAGTATGTGTGTGTCTGTCTGTGCGAGTAGAGGGGGGGGGGGGGGGGGGGGTCTGAAACACAGGTGGGCGTTTTATTGTGTCGTCTGTGTCAGCGTGGAGCCTGTCTGAAGGCTGTCGTTGCCGTGGGAACAGGGCCCGCCGTCGGGCGAAACGAGAGCTCCCACTGTAGAGTGAGTTGAATTACAGGTGAGGTAGGCTGAAGGAGAGGAGCACTGGGGTTTGGATAAGAAACGATCAATACGCTCACACGCTGTGAAAGGGCCAGTTTACATTGATGCTGCACAGGGATACTGTGAAAGAGGGAAAAAAACAGCCATGCTACCCACATCAACATGTTTGAGTTGCCTGGGATATCACAGTGAAACCACAACATCAACAGCAGGCCATTTCTAGAGCCTCAGCTTGGTAGGAAACACATGCTGTAGCTTGTAGGTCATTTACACACACAAAAAAAGACAATACAAACATCTGAACATCGTTAAAATATGATTAATTTAACAAAGCAAAATGGTGCAAATTAAAAGGCCCAGTCTCACAAAGAACGATAATTATAAAGATGACTATAATGATTACTATGTTCCCATCCACACCAACACACACTTTTGTTTCGTTTATTATAAGCAAGGGCTGTTGTTATGTTGTCTACCTCTTTAAATGCTCGAGCTCTTTAAAAAAGATGGATTCTGATTGGCTGTCAATGTTTTTATCATTCATCAGCTGGAAAAAAATGTTATAGTTGTGGTATGCTATTCTTTTACATTTAGAACTATTTTTAAAACTATATCTTTATCATTGTAGTTATCGTCCTTGGTGTGAGACTCATATAATGTATATATTTATATAAAAATTCAAATGTTGTCATTTGTTTTTCTTATAGCATTTGCTATGGCATAAAGCCAATATTTTGTTAGTTACGCTTAAAACAAAACAAAAATGTTGCCAATGGGGTGTTGCCAAAATATAGTCTCTAAAAACAAGCCTTAAAATATACTGCAATTTTGTTTTAAGAAAATGTATAATATTTTAAGGATGCAAGTTTTTTGCAGCTTATGAGAAAAAATAACTAAAAAAGACGACAGATAACCAGAACACACAGACAAGCAAACACATACTTTTCTTCTTTTTAGGCTCAGTAGCAGCTGTGACCAAAAAATGAAAAGAGTTTTGTGCAACATGACAAGACCATTACACATGAGCAGAAAAGCATGCTTACCTCTGCAAACAGTTCCATTTTCCACAGCCTCGTGCCCTGCTTTACACATACAGCGGCCAATAGGGACCATCCACTCTCCATCTCCATTACAGTAGAGTTTAATGGGAACGTCGACCTCCTCGGCATTAGGGACGCACACTCCCCTCGCCGCCACAAGTGAGGTGCTCTCTGCTCCCGACAGCGTCTCCTGAAATATCGCTCCATTGCGGATGGCGCGAGGGCATTTCCGGTAGAACACTCGTACGGCGATAAGCGACATGCACCCGCCATAGTCCTGGAAGGCTAAGTAGAAACCGTTACGGGAGACGGGGCCGAAACTGCGAACCTCTGTATTAATCTTCATCACCCGTCCGCCCAGGTCTACTTGCGAGAAGCTCTCATCGGCCGCAATGGTATCCACCTTGATCCAAGGGTTTTCCATCCATGGGGGAAAGACTTTGGTGGCCGTGTCGGAGTCTGATTCATAGTAGTAGAGGTTGAAAGTTTCCTTGCAGGAACCAGGGACTCTTGGGATGCTGCTGCAGTCTCGTACTGAGAACTTCATCTCCACGTGAATGCGTTGAGCACCTCTTCGGCGGATGTACTTGGTGCGCACCCAGTTATTTTGGTTGGCGACAAAGACGTTACACACTTGATAGGTACGAATGGTGTTCATATTCTCATCGTAGCCACTCACTTCTTCCCACTACAAAGAAAATGAGAAAGCAAAGGTTTACAGATTTGATTTACATCCAAGTTTGTTTGTTTTTACCTCTAGACAAGCAGAAATGGGATGGGAATGGGAAAAATGCTTTATTTACTACCATTTTAGCCATATATACATTTATTGGTATGAATTCTTAAATATGTGCTCCTGTGACAAAAATGCCAGGTAAAACAAATAGTCAATCCCTTCTCATAGATCTAGCTAAATTTAAACAATGATCTGACAGCAGAAACAATCAAGTTATATACACATTTGAATCTCTGCATCAAATATCTGGAGGACTTTACGAGCACTTGAACCATTTTTAGCAGCTTTCCCCATATGCATGGGCCAGATTACTGAGCACAGGAGGAATAAGGTGGGAAAGAGAGCAAAATTCTCCAGCTAGACTGCCAACAGGCCCTGGCACTATAGGCATAGAGAGGACTGGCACTGGCTTGGGTTTCCTGTAGACCCCTATATTGCAGTGCCAAGCGATTCTGGTCTCTATTTATTTTTGTCTCTCTCACTCACTCTCAATTTCTCGCACTGTTTAAAAATATGTGCAATTAATATAGCTCAGGCGGAGACAAAGAAAAGGTGATACACTTTGATGTTTACATAATCTATTTCTTTTTTTTTTCTCTCTGCTGCCTCTTTTCTGCCCTCAGGCAGCTTAAAAATGGAGCCTGCATTATCATTATTAAATTGTTTCCCTCACAACAAGAAAACAACCGAGTATAGTTTGGTGAAATTAAACAAACATGCTGACTCAACAGCAAAACCAACAAAACCAAAAAAGGGAGCGTTAAATTATTCAAAAGTTCTTATGGTATGGATAAAAAAAATAAGTAAATAACTAAAAATAACTTATTTTCCAAAAAAGAAAAAATCATGCAGGTGACATGAAAGTGAGTAAATTATCACAGAATTATTTTTTTTTTTTTGTGTGTGTGTGTGTGTGTGTGTGTAACCTATCCCTTTAATTAGAGACGAGACAAGACAGAAAAGGAAAGAGAAATTTAACGAAATGAACAGAACCTAAAAGAAACGCAGAATATTTACCTTCATTTGACCTACAGATCATTCGTGTAAATGATCCATCCCATTGAACATTACAAACCTAAGATAATCAAATTATATGGAAAGCATTTGATAGAGTGAAGGTCGTGTTGTAAAATTTACAAGTATATATTGCTCAGACTAAAGCATGAAGGGAACACGCACCAGGGACTTCACTGCTCGGCCTAAAGTGACTCCAGATGACTCCATTGTGGTTTTCAGCCAACTTGCCTGCAATCAAGCCACAGGCTTCCAGCACTAAACAACTCAAATACCAGCCACAGAAGTCTTGACCTAGTCCAAGAGAGAAAGCCCTTTTCTTCACCTTAAAAAACATTTTTCGCACCACAGCCTCAAAGACCAGCAAGCGATCACCCAAATCACCCTCCCCTTGAGTGTTATACTCTTCACTTAACAGTTGACATAATTTTCCAAATTAGTTTGCTGCTTAACAAGGATTTTGACAGAGTTTTGACAGACTGGGGGAGAAAGTCAAGCCTGTCCAAGACCTCCATTCAATCAAATGATCTTGCACTAATTAAAACAGCATTCATTCCTTGCAGCTTTTGTTCTTTATTCCCATGTTCCCATATTCGGTTGAGATGAACTTAAGTGATTCTGGATGGGATTGTGGTCATTACCACTTGCACTTGTGTGTGTATGTGTGTTTTTCATCACTTCAGCTCATTCCTTTCAAGCAACCAGATGTGTTTTGGGTCACTGGCAGCCATTGACCTTGCCACTTTCTTGAGGATGACACATTCTTCCATGAACCAGAAAGGGGTGAGAATGAAGGGTAGTTAAACATGAGAAGACAGTGTGTAGCAATCCTCTTGTTTGTAGTCTGTCACTCTGACTAATCAAATTAGAAAGAATTTATATAAAACCAATGTTGCTAATGAGAGACTGAGTAAGCGCATATCTCGTGATGGTCCAAACAAACAGCCTTTAAATGAAAAGCCTCCCTTTGTGCTGTCTCGGCTTCCCTGACACTCTTTCATCAGAGGCAAAGAGGAGAACCAAATGAGACATAATAAGAGCCAAGCAATCAAGCACTGAGTGTGAAATTAGAAGAAACATCTTCATTTCCATAGGTTTTATCCTGGACTTTCAGTGGGAGTGTGGCTAATGGGAGACCATGTGTTTAAGATTCATTAAATGTGGATTTTTTTTTTTTTTGTAATATTTTGTATGTAATATATAAGCAGTCTTTTTAACCTTTATTGTTTAAAAAAAAAACTAAATACAAATGAATATTTTATATGTTTTAACTATTAAATACATATAATTATTGATTACAATTATTGATTTAATTAGTTAAATATATAAATATATATTCATTATACTGAATATTTTATTGTGTGTGCTGAAAAATATTTAAATACTACTCTTTTTTTAATAGTCAACAGTTATTAAACGTAAAATATATACTAAACTATTTAAGTTATAGACTTAGACAGAGAGAATCATGCTTACTAAATCTATGGGCCATGTACTGCTTCCTCCTGAATCTATGGGTATATACCGCTCTCATAAGCGTATCAGGGCCTTTATCAAAAAGTGTTAAGGCCCACAAGAATAGGCTGGCTGGCCTCTGGTTAAGAGGTCAGAGTCTGGGGCACTTCAGCTGTGGTGCACCACTGGCTTGTGTTCCTATACTGGCACGCACATATAAAATTATGCCGCCATTAGGTCTAAGGGCTCGAGCTAAGCTTTGAGGGTCACAAGCAAAAATAAAAAGGACCATTACAGAGTCTGCTAGGGTAGAACTCAGAGATTCAGTCCACTGAATGAGAACAAAACCTGGTATTTATTGGTCCCACATCGTCCTGATCTGTAGTCTTTCAATCATGACGAGAGCTACTAACTATGTTCTGTGTTCTTCTCTCAAACTACTGTCCTATAATGGTTCAACAAGACATTGCAGGCTGTGTTATGTTAAGCAAAGCATCACTATTGTAGTTAAGGTTAAGGATTTGAACAATCAAAAGACCTTAAAAATTTGTGTTTACAAAGTTTGCTTTTCAAGTAAAAATTGCAGTTATACTGTACAAAATAATTTGAATTCTACTTCATTACATTTAAATTTAAATTCAGGAATTAAATTTGACTTTAAAGTGCATTATAAATTTAATTCTGAATGGTGCACAAACCTATACTAAATAATAAACAGTGACATACATTATCCCATAAAATTCACAAATTCCAGGTAAGAACCAAGAGCTTGAGCATTTATTAAATTAAAACAGTTCTGTCTTGCTGTTTTTGGATGCAAAAATGTGTCCTCAGTGAACATCCTTAATGATGATAATACTTTGGCAAACGGAATGTTTTAGCTATATGACTAATCTTGTGTAAACAGTGTCTTCGGCATAGAAAAGTATCTAATTTCAATAAATCACACACAAAAAAAACCCTGGAAGTCACAATTGAACTGAATTAAACTTGTAACTTGCACTGGGAAAAGGATCTCTGTGATAAATGGCACACTGTTCTTGTGGACAGAAATTTAGAAACGATAACTCCCCTGCCACCCAAGACGAAGGAAAGTTCACAGCCGAGCTGAAATCTATAAGTCTCCCAGACAGAGGCTCTCCCCGCTAGAACGGAGCCGCACGCTTGTGCTGAATTATGCAAAAGGCTCGCTCCAGGGGATGCAGAAGTTGGCCGCGATCAAACTTTTGTGCTATATTAATTGTTCCACTATGACACGGCTCTGAACTTTTATTTGGACTTCTGCATCTTTTACAAATAAACTGTCAGAACCTTATGAAGTTTACATGAAGCCAACAATTAAAGCTCTCCCAGGGCTGTCATTTGTATTCAAGCATTTGTAAAGTCGACTGATGAGTCCCGTGAAATATGCTGACTCCACATCTCAATGCAAAGCGCTCTTTGGACTCAAAGAAACACATCCTAAATCAGCATAAATAAATCATTCACGCAGAGGGACGGAAGGGAGCCTGTATAACAGCTCCTGAGGGAAAGTTTCCCAATTTGCAGTTGTGGGAAATCTGACAGATACACTGTAAAATGTAACAAGTTGACTTTACTTAGAAAAAGTGAGGAAACCGATTGCCTTAAATTTTCCAAGTAAAGTATTGTATTAATTCTTAGTTGGCGCAACTTAATAGCATTTGTATAGACAACTTGTAAATCAAGTATACTCAAGTAAAGTTGACTCAAAATTATTAGTTGTGTTAACTTCTTATTAGAGTTCACATTACTAGGAAAAAATTAGGAAACCGATTGCCTTAAAATTTTGAAGTAAGCTGAACTAAACAAATTAAGTTAAGACAAAAAGACAAAACTGAACTCGGGTGAAACATTATTTATTACTCCTCAATTGTCCTTATACACTACAGTGTACAAAACAATGTCATTCAGACACAAAAACAGTTTTTTGTTAATGTAACTAACAATTTTAATCACAAAAACATATTGTTATTCTTGTTAACCCTAAAGCAATTCAAATGTGCAGTGCAAATGCTAAAAAGCATCAACATTAGGGTAATGCAGGAAAATTGACACTTAAGTTGCATTGTAAAAATATGTTAAACAAAAGCATTTAACAATACAACTGTTATAAAACATTTTCAACCAAGGTTGACAAGTGACAATTTATAAATGTTTTGTGTATTTTAGAAATTTTGTACAACCACAAACTCAAAGGGTTAGTTCACCCAAAATGAAAATTAAGTCATTAATTACTCACCCCCATGCTGTACCAACCCAGCAAGACCTTCGTTCATCTTCGAAAACAAATGAGGATATTTTTGATTCAATTTGAGAGGTGGATCACTGCTACATAGGCTCCTAGGGGACTGAAACTTGACGGCCCAGAAAGTCATTAAAGAAAAGGTTTAAATATTCCATGTGACGACAGTGGCTCAACTATAAGTTTATCAAGCGACGAGACTACTTTTTGTGCGGAAATA